AAGAGGATATCTATGTCCCGCGCATGTAATTTTTAATCTTTTCGACTTAGTGTACTTTACGTTGCTACTCAAAGTAACTGCTACTTGGACGCAACTAATCGCGAATTTCTCTTCCAGTTTCCACGGCCTACAAGCAAGCAAGCACCAATTAGTTTTTCCTCAAAGGTGAGCATTCTAGATACTCTAGTTTGGTGCGAAGCAGGAATAGTGAAGCCAGACGAGCGGATACGTTTATTTAATTGACCGAGCTCAGAATGACCCGTGGCAGTGGCATTGAAGCTTATTTTTTCACAATCAACGCAGGCATAATTTTGAATCTATCCGGCTTAGTAAAGGATTGCTACTTGTCGCGAACTAATCATGGATAATTATCTTGCAGTTTCTATATGTCTGCAGCTAGCAGGTGCTGTTTTCATTAAAAGGCGAGGATTTCACATTCTGTTTCAAACATCAAGTTTTTGAATGGGGATCCTAAACAATTAACTTTCTTTTGCAGTAAATCCAAGATCCTCCAGTTCAGAAATATGTTAAATATAGTTGGTACGGATAAGCTCAGTGTTTTGCTTCCTAATTCATAATTTGACGACAGCAACCTTTTTTTTTAATTTTATCACTCAGAAATACACACAAGGAGAGACTGCGTTGTAAAGAAATGTCGCGCTGAACACGATATTCCAACTGGTATAGAGTTTTAATGGTAGCCGATATATATTGGATTCCAATATCCATAATACGCTAAGTACACTGGAATCTTAAACCCTTATTGGATCTCCATACAACACATAAGGATCCGATAAGGGTTTATACGGTATGGGATTCCAAAGTTTTTAGCGTATTATGGATATTGGAATCCCAGAACAAAGCCTTATTGTAATACAATACAATAAATGTAATTTTTTTCAATACACTGTCCATATTGTAATGAAATACAATAAAAAGATATTGTTAGCAATATTCATAATACTCTGTTCATATTGGGGTTTTCCATTGGGACTTTACACTTTTTTACACTTTACGGCACGGAACGTAAAAAAAAGAAAACAAAACACGAAAAGTTTGACCAAATTGACATCCAAGCAAACACATGTTGTACCTCCTGCGTCCACAAACACCCCACGCAATACCTGCCAAAGAGTGGATGAATAGAACTTACAGGTTCACTTCAAGCAGACAAATGTCGAAAATATTTTTTTTCACAAAACAACAAGTTGCATTTATGGCGTCGCAACACAGGGACACCCCGTGTCGAGCATCGGATAAGGGGCTTGGTAGAGAAGCTGTATTTATTACACCATCAAGATGGTGCAACATGTTTTTAATGGATATTAACCGCCAGATAGAGTCGAATGATTGGGTAGAGTTTAAAAAAAAATAAAGAACGTGTTTTTTTTTTAAGTCGCTTTTTGAAATGTGTTTATTTTGGTGCTTGTCTCGTGTTCGCTTGCCCAAAACTCCTCAACCAACGCATATATAGATATGAATTTTACTTAATTTACTTCAATTTATAAGTAGCGTATTGAATTAAAATATGACTTTTCTGACTAAATTATTTCCTAAAATACAGGCCTGCAAAGTTGGGGGAAAACTGTCATACAGACAAAATTGATGTTTTTATAATTTTTTAAACATAATAAACAATAGCAATATTTCTTTCGTACTGCTAAGTACACATAGATTGTGCTAAAAAATTATGAAGCTTGCCTAAGAAGTATAACTTCATTTATTAATCACCGAAGTTGACCCCTCCGGCTACGCAAGAAATGCGACTTTCTACCTCTACGTGATGTACGATTTTTTTGCGTCCGACAATTTTTTTTCTGGGTGAAAAAAATTCTGATTTTGTTTATTTCTGACATCGTCAAATAACATATAAAATTGTGAAGCAAATTAAAAAGTTCGACCAGCCACCCCCTGTTCGATCTTATCTGAAATCACCCAGCAGGTCAAAAATATTTCCAGCTACCTCCAGAATAGAGAAAAAAAAAGATGCCATTCATCGTCCCCTGTACTGCCCATACCGGCATCAGCGGAGGTTATATTTGAAGCTATTGTCGCATAAAAGTATTGGTAAGTGTGCTCGGTGCGTTTTTAGCAGCCCTATAGCTAAAGAAACAAAACAAAAAAAATGAATTTAGAATTTTTGTTTGGGGGGTCGTGTTGGAAAATTGACGGCCACAAGAATAGAGGCAAAATTAGTTATTTTTTTCAGCATTGAGAGAGAAACTAGCAATATGTCACAGTGTGGCGTCCTAGAACTGCTATCATATTTAAAAATGGAAATCCTTGGGATCGCATACTTGTAAAGCAAATTAAATAGTACAAACATAACAACAAGGTTGAAAAAAGGCAGATTTACTAGAATGACGGCACCTTGTTTATGTGTGTTTTTTTACATTCCTTTCCTGCTCCTACTATTATAGTATTGTTCAGTATGTACAATGCACATACTGGAAAAGAGTCTAGTCGACCTTGTTCTTGCATTCTTGAACGCCGAAAAACCTCGCTCCCACAATGAGCGTGTTTTCTACTCCAACCGAGTTTATATTCTCTTTGTAGTCATAGAAACATTCAGTTGACAAATGTCTTGGTAGAACGATTCAACAACGCGCGAGACGCAGGTGGTTTGTAATGTCTGTAAGCGCTGTTTTTTTTTTTTTTTTTTTTTCTTTTTCTGTAACCTGTTCGCCTTGTACGCCACATAACATTGCAGGAATTAAGCTCCGAGATTCAGTCGTTGTTATGACAGGAGTTCTCATTGTCTGTAGACCTATCTGCCACAGATAAGCCAACATGATGTCGCGTTCCAAGCCCGCCGTAAGGCTTCTCATCATTTTTGCGCTGAGCACATCTTTCGATTCATCAGAAAGGTAACCCGTTTCGATTGTACCGTCACGTTATATTTCCTGTAACCCTTCGCAAATGCATCGCTTTGAACTAACTCAGTATTTTATTCTATGCTTTTGATTAGACCCTATATTTTAGTTCCCACTGCTTACCTCCCACGGTAACATTTGTTTCCTAATAAACGTAGTGAAGACTGAAATATTTTTAAGATAACATAATATTAAAAAACTGAGAAAAAACGTAAAATGCGTGTTATAAAAATCTTAAATTCTGTGCGCTCAACAATAGAACACATTGATTGAAGCCCTCGTGTGAGAAATTTGGGCTAAATATAAAATCTCGGAATAAATTTAAAAACAAAGTTTATGAATACGCGTAAATGTATTGCAGTAGTAACAAACACTGAAATTTACAAGGCACAGTTACATTCAGATTTGGAACTTAGGTAGGCAGAGGCAGTTATTTAGCGATTTGTCATTGGTAGACGGCTTAAAACGCTGTATGATTTTTCACTCGACTAATCAAAATTGCACTCGATGGTGCAGCCGCGTAAATTTGGAAAAAAGCTAAAAATATACCCTCTTACGGAAGAAAAGCACGCCAATCTCAAAATATAATTAAGAAAATCCTATATATGAATCTAATGTGCCGAAATATGACTCTAGAGAATGAGTAAAGCCACGTTCATTAAAATTATAAAACCTGAACATAATATTGATATATTATCTCACTGGCATATTAAGGTTTACCTTTCGTTAATAAAAGTCATCTACCTTTTCGATCTTTCGACCGTTTCAGAATCTATTGGAATAATAAGCATCGTCTTTAAAGGTGAAACACGACAAGCGTGCCTTGTGTGAACTATCCAGCATGGTGTCTGGCTTGCAACCGAAGGGTCGTGGGTTCGAATTGCGCCTGAAATTCTTCAGATTGTTCGAGGCAAATTAATTACTTTATAAAGTGAAGTCACTTTAGATATGGCGCGACCTTTATTTCGCTCTACATGTCGTATTTAATCACTTTCATTCTAGCGGGACGTCACGTTAGCGTAAGCGTTGCTTAGAATTCCCGCACGCGGTCATGTGGCTGGACGTCATCAACCTATCCAACTATCAGGACTTTCGCGTCACACGACCGACGCCGGCTTTCTCTGCGATACGAAATCCTTCACGCTCTAGCGTTAAAAGGTTCACTTCTCCTCAGTAAGTGCTTACTGGCAATCCCAAGCTATGCTTGGGTTCAAGGAACTCAGTGAAGGGAACTGAAACCGTCTATCTGGCATCGAATATAGAAAAGGAACGATGTGCAGATTCTTAAAGAAAATATTTCATCACTCGACTAGAAGAAACATTCATTCATTACATTATCACAACAAATCATACTCAGTTGCGTCGCACCTTTGCCCCTTTGTGATTAACAAAGGTGTAAATAGTTTATTTGTATAACTTTTGTAATTATGCGAGAAAGAAGGTAGCCCGAAAAGCAGCAAATTCTCGAATTTCTTTATGTGGATGAGCGCCAAATTATGAATCACTAATGTATTTTCTGGATTGTCATCTGTTTGGGGTGGCATTATGGTAAATATCTAGGCCTGTACTAAAAAACTTGGAGGACGCTTAAGGTTCGGCTTTAAGAGTGGAACACGATAGCGTTATCAGGTCCCGTTTGCATCGATTTCTTATTCACCGTGCAAGCGTGCCTTGCGTGGCCTAGTCAGTAGCGTGTCTGGCTCGCAAACTAAGGGTCGTGGGTTCGTATCACGTTTAAAATTCTGCAATTGTTGTCTTTATTGCACATTAATTACAATATAAATTCAAATAATTTGAGATAGGCGGCGACCTTCAATTCGCATGTCATGTTTAATCAATATCATTCCACGAATGACGTTATGTTTCTCATGAGCGTTGTGGGTTCTTTGAAATTCCCGTGCTAGGACATGTGCCTGTAACTTCGTGACCCTATCGACCATATCAGGATTTTTCCGTCAAGCCACCGACGCCGGGTTTCCTGCGACACAAGCTCCCTAACGCTATCGCGTTAAAACCTATATAAATGCCTTTTAAAAACGCAAGTTTTTTTTGTTGCTTTCTACTCCTGTGTGCAAAAGTACGCAGAGTGTGCTGTCTTGGAGAGATGACGAGCAAGAAATGACCGGGATGTCTATGGACACGTCGGATGTTAATAAGACAAAACCAGAAATAGGCCTGCTTGGGATTCCTGTGGGATGCGGCCAGGTAAGAAAACACTACTGCCAAAATTGCGTGCAGTGTTTTTATAGACTGGTTTGTCGAAAGTTGGTGGCAATGACAGACACCTCAAATTAGTTCCTGGCGGTAAAGTACTAAAGAAACCTTTAATTCCTGATAACTCAGTTTTGCATCACATCTCAAACCTCGCCATTTATTACGCAATGCAGAGTGCAAAATATACGAGGCGTTTTATATTTATAAGATTCAGAATTGCGTTTCATGCGCTAGCGCTATTTGCGTTACGCTAATCACGCTAACTTGCGCCGCTGTTGCTTTAGCCCTCGGTAAAAATCGGGGACACCGGAGAGTCCTAAAACGATGCGATATTCTTTAATTGAATAATGATTTTCAAATTCCTCATTAACGTTTCTAGATTGGCATAATGTAGTTGTAAAATTTACGCCTGACGTGATTAGGTCTAGCTGTGACGTGAATTGTTGATCATCTCATTTGTGGTTGGCGCTACGGAGCAAGAAATGTTATTCTTCCACACGGCTTCTAAACTTAAACCAACTAAGCTACATGACATCGTATTTTTCCCTCTTGCAGTAGCGTTGACGGCTTTATCTGAATATAAAAGTGAAAGTGTAAAAAATTGACCGCCACTTTCGGCACAGTGAATAAAAAGAAATGTCTGCCTGTTTCCCTGTATTTTTTGTTTATATATTTGGAGCGATATAACTTCACATCTTGAAGGACATATGAGGAGTGCGAGTGTTACGGCTTATTAAAAAAATGGATAACCTTGAGATTCGTGCTTTTTGGTAATCACCTATCAGAGGGTTGCGCCCCGAAAGCGAGCAGCCGCTGACTGGTTGGCTCATCTACGAGCATGTGCCCTTCGCGACACCAGATGGCACGGCTTCTTCCAGAAGATGTCACTGCACGTATGCGACGACTAGAGTTCCTGTATAGGCACCCTACGGGAGCCAGAGTTGTGCGTCTGTTTTCCACGTGCCGCCGCGCCGCTATTCGCCGAGATCCGATCACGTGAGGAGCAAACTTCAAATGCTCTGCAGGAAAGCCACCGGTAGTGCCGCTTGGCCGATGTTGCAAGCGCCTCGGCGTACTACCTTGATCACAGTTAGCGGGAACGCCGGAGCGCGTGGCAGCGGGTACTATCAGAGCAGCCTAACGGCCCGGCGCGCAAGTTCCAGCGCATGCGCATCGCGTCTGCTGAGGGATTATGCTCTCATCGCGCGCATCGCGTCATCGGAGCGCTCGCGCGTCGTCTGCTACGGGCGTCGTCTTCTACGCGAAGCATGTCGCATGGAAGCGCACGGGTTAAAATGCGTGTAGATGAACTTATCAGCCCACGGGCATGCAACAAGCATGGGAATATTTTGATGCATGATACAGTATCATACCGTTTTTGTTTCTTATATTTTATTAAAAAAATATTCGAGGCCCCCTCCCTCGCATGCGGTGTGCTTGATAAATTTAGGCGCCTTTGCATTGCTGTCAGAACGATTGCTGCACCTCGCCATGGCCAGAGTTCCAGAGGCGGACAGGCGATTGATCATCGAGCTCTCCCAGAAAGGGCACCCGCAGCGGGCCATCGGGGCCCTTGTAAAAAGGCCTCTAAAGACGGTTAATAGGATCGTTCAAGCTTTCCGTTATGTAGGCCAGATCCACGACGCACCTCGAGGGACTCCCCCAAGAGCGACGACCGAGGATGAGGACCGTTACATTATTGCCGCTGCCGTCGAGGACCCCTTTCTTTCGGCCAGGGAAATCCGAGAGCAGCTGGAATTGGACGTTTCGGACGTGACAATTCGTCGGAGGTTGGCAAGCGCCGGCCTGCATAGCGCCATGGCAGCGCAGAAGCCCCTGCTACCTCCTTCAAACAAGGAAGCGAGGCTCTGCTTTGCGATGGGACATGCGTCGTGGACGGCGGATGACTGGGGCCGGGCCGTCTTTTCAGACGAATCGACGTTATCCACCAGGCAAGACGAATGCGTGCGTGTGTGGCGACCACGCGGCGCACGGTAAGGCCTGCTTAGTATGCTAGCTGTTCTACGTAGATCTTGATAATTGTTTTCGTTGCGGAAATATTTCGTCGTTCGTTTACGTTCTCGCTACACACTCGTGATTTACTGAATTCCGTTAAATAAAAGGCTGGGGTCCCTTAACAGCTGAATTTTCTGCTATGTTATTCGCAGTGTATTCATTGTTAGTTAAAGCTAATTACGCTGTTTATTTGTTTTTTTATTATCTTTGGCTCATATGGGTAGTCGTGACAGTCTTTGTTCCTTTCTTCTCTTTACCTGCGTAATTTCTGTGTATACAGTTCGATAGCTTGGCTGAAAAATCACACCGCTCAACTAGGGTCGATGCGGTCCTGCAGGAACGATCCTGCCTACGTGCAGCGCGTTGCTTCCAGCGGTAGGACGTCCGTGAACGTTTGGGGTGCCATCACAAAACATGGCCTCGATCCTCTGCACCGCATAGTCGGGAGGCTGACATCGACCAGTTACTGCGACGTGGCGGACACCGTCCTTATACCCTTCGTTCGGAGTGGTCCCTTCCCCGACGGGAACTTCCTTTTTCATCAAGATCTCGCGCCCATTCACACTGCGCGCACCGTGAAGGACCACTTGCGGCAGTGCGGCATAGAGGAGTTGCCATGGGTTCCGAAGGGCGCGGACCTTAACATCATTGAGAACGTGTGGGGCCGAATGAAGGCGGCCATGATGCGGACTCCTATTTATTCCGCCACAGAAGACCAGCTGTGGGACGCAGTCCAAGCAGAATGGGAACGTTTGAAAGGAGACGCGTCTTTCGTGTCAAGTCTTTACGACTCGCTGCCGCAAAGGATGGCGGCTGTAGTCGAGCTAAACGGGGATATGACCCGTTACTGAGCCTGTTTTAGTTGACTTGATTTTTCTTTGACTGCAGGTAGCAGCCATTCAATTTTACTTTAGCAATAAAGTTTGCACTTTTCTTACCCGACACCACTGACACAACGTCGTCGTTACAGCAATTGGCTGCAGCAAACCTTATGGGCAGAAATCTTAGACATCTGCACCCCACAGTCACCAACACACATCTATCACAGGCCAAAAGGCAATAACAATAAAGAAGACAAGAACCACAAGCTATAAATGCAGTTATCAAAGTCAGGACCACGTTAATTAATGATGCAGACGCGCTGGCCGACAATCAGTTTATGATCACCGCGCCCGAGATAGCTCTAGACGTCACAGGAAGCGGGGTCGGCGAAGCTGGCGCAGACTGACGCGAGAAGAAAAAAAGTCACAATGTTTATTTGCTTTAACAAATACTGAAACTAAACCTGGAAAGCAGATGAGCACATTGGAGGAGCTTTCATTTTAGGGTTCACCACCTTTCGGGTATGCCAAAGTTCTTGCTATCACCAGTAGCATGCGCATGGTAGACAACAGCCGTAGCAGACAACACACGTAGCAGACAACACACGTAGCAGGCGAGGCGCGTAGCAGACGACAGGCGTAGCAGACGACACACGTAGCAGACGATACACGTAGCAGACGACGCGCGTAGCAGACGACAGCCGAGCGCTCAGATGACGTGATGCGCGCGACGAGAATATAATCTCACCACACGCGCGATGCGCATGCGCAGCAGTTGCGCGCCAGTCCGGTAGAGCGCTCTGATAGTGCCCGCTGCCACGCGCTCCGGCGTTCCCGCTAACTGTGATCAAGATAGTACGTTCCCCCTGCTTTTGCCTCGTCCTCCTCTCCAGTTTTCCAGGAAAGGAGGAGAAAGAGCGTACGGCGCCGCTATTCGCCGAATCCAGTCACGTGGGGAGCCGACTTCAAATGCCGTGCAGGAAAGTCGGTGCTAGGGGGATGAACGCGCAACTCTGGCTCCCGTAAGGAGCCTATACAGCAACTCTAGCAACGACACGCGCTGCTCTGTTTACTTTTGTTTCGTTGAGCACTGTACTATCGCGGACAATATGAGCTGAAACAGCGCTCCGGCCTGTGCACGTTACTACCTGCGCCGCCTGTCGCATCGCTCCGCAAACACGGCGCACCCTGAGGCCGAGATAAATTCTCACTTGCGCTCACTGCGCCGCTGCGCTCTTCCGGCCGTCTGCTAGCGAAAATATTGGCTGACGGAACCGCCATCACGATGCGTGTGCCGTGCAGCCCAATGTTCACGTTTTAAGCTAGCATGCATTTCAGTGCTTTTCAAAAGAGCGCCGAAGTGGAAAATGGGTTGTCACGCTCGTATCTCCTCGAGGACCTTTGCTTCATGGGGCTGCCTTGGCCCCCAAAAGGTGCCGATCTGAATATCATCGAACAGGTTTGGAGGCGCACCAAAGTAACCATGTCACTGCGTCCCCTCCCCCCCGCCACTGCCGACAAATTGTGGGACGCGGTGAGACGTGAATGGCAGAGGCTTCGGGCCGAGCCAGGCTTCGTGGCCGCGCTCTGTGATACCTTACTACTGGAGAGAGGATAAGAGGCGTGGTCGCGGGTCAGGGAGAATGACGCGGTATTAACTTCTTTCGTAGGTTTTACTGCGCCTCAGTACCCCCTCAACTGGACTTCTGCCAATTGAAACAAAGCTTGCTGCTACGGTTGCGACACACTGTTTGACGCCGTTAACCAGCGCATACTTTTGTGTGGTGCATTTATGATCCTAACGTTCTTGTACAGTGCAGTTGAACTTCCACGCCCACTTTTAATCTTTTGTGTCTGACATTGTCCTCTGCGAATATTATTTCGATGCTGTTCAAGCTGCTTGTCCTGGCGAATATATGACAGCAAAAATATTCCAAAAGCCGGGAATCATAATGATCAAAAAAACTACCCTCGGTGGCAGTTTCCATTCCACCGAGGGTAGCATGGAAACTGCCACCCCTGTACCTTCATGCTCGAAGGCAGGCAGTGTTTCCTCTGCACCCCTAAAAAAAACAGCGCAGGCATCCCAGGTGCCTGCTGGCCCGTCAGGCAGAGGCCGAGCACAGCCCACTCGCCTGACCGACAATCCGAGAA